GAGAAAGAATTGATGGCCATGGCCCTTTCCGTCCAGAAGTGGAGAGGGTATTTACTGGACTGCCATTTTACTATCTGTACAGATCACAAAAGTTTAAAACATTCGGTGGAACAACCGGACCTATCAGATGTTCAACAAAAATGGTGGTACAAGCTGCTAGGTTTTGATTTCACAATTGAATAGAAACCAGGTCCTACTAATGTGATTGCTGGTGCACTCTCATGGCAGCATGAATTGGGTCAATTATCAGTGTCTCAGCCCATTTACCCCTTGGCGGGTCAGCTGAAAGAAGAAGCCTCTCAAGATGAACACCTTACTAATATTCAGAGTCAGCTGGTGCAAGGCAAGGGCCATGTACCTGGATATTCAGTTTTCAATGGCATCCTAATGTTCCAAGGGGAGAATGGTTATTCCCGTGCAGTTAGCTCACATCCCGGCCCTCCTGGAACTGTTTCATGCCTCTCTAGAAGGTGGTCATTCGGGAGTCTTGCGCACTCACAAAAGGTTGGCTTCCCATTTCTATTTTGTAGCCCACTGCTTGACATGCCAAAGACACAAGTATGATACCCAAACACCAGCTGGACTACTTCAGCCCATCCCACTTTCTGATAAATTTTGGGAGGAAATCTCAATGGATTTCATCACAGGCCTTCTGACCTCATCAGGCAAGACAGTCATTGTAGTCTTTGTGGACAGACTCTCTAAATATGCCCCCTTTGCACCATTGGCTCACCCATATACAATGGTACAAGTGGCCAAGCTTTTCATTCAGGAAGTCTTGCAGCTTCACGGGACACCAAGAGCTATCATTTCAGATTGTGATGCAGCCTTCAAGAGCAAATTCTGGTCTGAATATTTCAAGGCCCAAGGAACCAAGCTACATCGCTCAACCAGGTACCATCCACAAACAGATGGCCAATCCAAGGTGGTTAATCGTACACTAGAACTTATCTATGATGTTTTACAAGTGATTTCCCTTGGGCATGTCTCAAATGGTTACCATGGGCCGAGTATTGGTACAACACCTCATACCACAGTTCACTACAAGCAACCCCATTCAAGGCTCTATATGGACGTGACCCACCATCCTTGTTACCCTATGAAAAAGTCTCAACTGCAGTGGTGGAGGTGGATGATTATCTAACCCAGCGAGATGCTGTCCTTAGGGACCTTAAAACCAATCTTTTGCAGGTCCAACAACAAATGAAAACACACTATGACAAGAAGCACCAGGATGTCTCTTATGAATCAGGAGACTGGGTCTATCTAAAACTTTGGCCATATAGACAGAGTAGCCTGGCAACAAGAATCTCCCAGGATCTGGCTCTGCGTTTCTATGGACCATTTCAGTTCCTTGAGAAGGTGGGTAAGGTTACCTATAAGCTAGACCTGCCAACCTCATCCAAGTTACACCCCACCTTCCATGTTTCTCTACTGAAGAAACACCTAGGGCCGACAGCTCCTGTTTCACCAACACTACCAGAGTTCTTAGAAGAGGGGATCTTGCTGCCAGAACCAACTAAAATCGTGGACTTCAGAATCATTAAGGAGGGTAAGGCCACAATTCAACAATCCGTGGTCATTTGGAAGCATCTCCCAATGGAAGATGCCACTGAAAGAATGGTAGGATCCATCTAATGGACGTCAATAAGGTTGCGGAATGGGTGGGCGAATTTCAAAAATTTTCCTACCTTCTYCCAACTGGGAATCATATTCCCTAAATTTAGAATACTATATTCAAGGATCCTACTTGAACCATAATCGAACCAGATCTGAACCAAAAAGCAAAAGGGAGGAATATACCTGATTCGGAGAAGCAGTATCTCCCAAAGTTGGTGTTCACGCCCAAAGAAGAAACCAAGATCCGCTCTTGCTGAAGATGACACAGCTGTGGGTGGAACGGAACCAGCAGGGTGCGTCTTACACACTGGATTCTTCGCAAGAATCCTCTGGAAACTCTAAACACTGAATCTTTCTCAGTCTTTTTCGCAAGACTGATGTCAAGAACTGATTTCTTGACTTCCTATTGCTGCAAAGATCAAATCTTGCAAGAGGAAATGGCGGCGGCTGGAGGAGAACTCCTGGGACGAAGATGGCTGAACTGCTTCTCTTCTCTCTGGAGTCTGTATGAGATCTAATCTCTGTTTGCAGGATAATTTCTTGCACACCAAACCCTTGGTTCGAAATCTGATATTTCTCTTAGGGTTTGTCCTCTTTTCTTCTTGATTAAGAAACCTCCTAATTAGGAGTTATCCCAATCCAAATCAGTATTTGGATATGGGATTATCTTAATCCTATCTGCAGATTAAGTTAGCTTACTCCTGATCTTATCAGGAGGTTACCAGATTCAAATCTGTTTTGAATTTGGTCTCCCAGAGTGGATAAGGTCAAAGGCCCTATCCTT